GGTTAGGTTTCTTAGCGATTTTCTAAACGCCATTAAAAATATATCAAATTTCTGGAAACGACCGGGCATAGGGTCCACTTTCACTTTCGACAGACCGGACATAGGACGGGCACTCTCTTGTTTTCATCATCGCGTATAGATTGCAAATCGAAGTGGCAACAGTTCATAACAAAACCAACCAATCGTGGCAAAGGTGACCTCTGATTGGTCCATTTGAATCAGATCAACAATTGATGGAGCGGATTTGTATAAAAAATGCAATGAATAGTTCTTATTTGTGCCGCTAGAGAGTTAGCAATTGTTGATCATAGTGGAGCCACATTTGTATGCCGAATCATACATTAGATCAACAAAAACTGTTTTGATCAACAATTGCTAACTGATCAACAATTAACTGATGCTACAACCCGTCTGATCAACATTTGCCGAATGGATACATCTATATATATATATACATATATATGTATTGTATGTGTAGATTTATTATAGTGGTATATATATTCTTCAGCCTTTTACAATTTCACAAATTTCATGCTTGCTTCTTGCATCTGCCATTGTTATTCTTCTCTGCATCACCCAAAGGTCAGACTGGTAGAGAATGCTTAAAGCATTAAGTCCACCTTGTGTACAGTATCTTGTGCATGAAGCTTTTAAATAAATAAATAAATAAATAAATGTAATGTAAAAAGTAGGTAATCTTTTGATAATGGAAACTCATGTTTAGTATTATAGGGACAAAAACGGCGTTAATGAAATACTGAGTTTCAATATAAACTGCAATAAAAATTAGCTGAGAACATTAGTCTTTTTGTCGGATGTATCAACGGTGGTGGTACGGTGGCGGTGGCCGAACAATTCCGTTCTTATAAAACCTTTGTAGGACCGAAACTAGGTGGTCGATGTCTTGGTTGGTCGAATTTTGATCAAACTTAGGCCACCGGGTTCGAAGTATCCGCAGCATTTAGTTAGGTATTTGTCGAGATAAACCTCAAACTTTTTACAAGGCATAATATTAATTCGAGATCAAAATCAATGATTATGTCGAAGACTGTTAAAAGTAAAAAGTAATTTAAATTAAATAAAGATTTTAAGATAAAATCGTATGGTCTTGTCTTGTGCATCGCGAAATAAGATATCTTTTAATTTCGCAAAGATAACGATTTTATCAATCTATACATTGATGCATACTTTATCTGTCTATCGATCAAAATACTTATGCTTATTCAGATTGACAAAGTAGTAGGTACTTAGTTAATGATTGTGTGTAAAGAATTATGCGCTCAGTAACTCCGCTTATAATGTAAACAAAATGATCTTAAGGTCGCATCCAATCTTACAGGTAATTAGATATTGGTAGCCGGATGATTGTCCCTAAAGAGCGCAGGTGCACCTCAATCCCGACCATAATGATGAGTTAGACATCTTTGTTTTAATAAACATTTTTTGATTTCTTTTCACTTTTTAATAAAGCAATTGCCATAAATACAGATTTGAGCTATCTGGGTGGGCCGATTGTTGGTCTTTTAATAATGGCAATTAGAACAGAACCCAAAATTGAGCATCTCCGGTTCGAAGTACCTTTGGAAATACTCTGGGGTTGTAATTTCTGTAGAACGAATGACGTAGAATATATGGAGGCCCCGAGGAGCCTTGTAGAGAAGATAGTATGGTAATGAGTTGTGATTTATTCGCATTTGCATAATTTAGAACGCGGAGAGAGCTAGGAAGTCGGTTATTTTTGCAAGTCTGTTATTAGCTGAGTCTGATAGTAATTTATTTAAATAATGACTCAGGAAACGAGCGCACTTATTTTGCTAATACTCAAATTGGAAAGCTAAAAATACACTATAATAATGTTGGGCAAATATGGCTACTGCATGTTCTTATAAGCCCAGAAAATGGTATGTATTTTTTATAGAAGATAATTCCTCAGAATTTAATTAAGACGGAAAGACCAAGTTATTTGTTTTTAATTCTAATGTATATGTGCCACCCAAAATGCGTAAGGTCTTGGGCCTGAGGTTACATGTCGGTGGTCTGCCTCAGTTTATATGGTCATCACGTGTTGTTAGACAAAAAATGCGAAAAAACAAGGACAAACCCACCACCCACGGCGATGCGTGCGCACGTGGTCACGTCACTCTGACAGCAGAGGGGATTTTTTGGGGGAAGGAAATGTCAAGGTAATTGAAACCGAAATTATTTTAGTTCATTTGCCATTTAGTATGAACATGAGCTACAAATATCGATTCAATAAATTAGTCTAATTTGTATTTCATACGCACCTAAATAAACCTCTAATAATCTCCATAAAACAGAAGAAATGCAAGCTTATTTAATACAGAACGTAAATTATAAGTAGAATTAATTAAATGAATATCCTAGAGCGTCTCTGTAGATTGTATCAGGGCCCAACAAAGCGTAGGTAGTTAGTTTTCAGCCCGATTCATTCCGTACATGCCTTCAATATGTCCAATCTCGATATAAAGAAAGAATGGCTCATTCGTGGAGTACATTAATCGTTCCAATTACAGAGCTTCGTCGATCGCTCGGTAGACTCGGTAGCTATCCCTTCAAATTAATTGAATTGATTAACCAATTGAATTTAGCGCAATTCAGTTTTTGTTCGCATCGCGGCGTGCGCGCAACAAGCGTTTACAGCCCGTAGAATACCGAGGATTACTTGTCGCTGCCTTACACCGTGCTTTAATTAGATACACTCGCATTGTTTGGTAATTTCAACATGGCTTCTCTGTATTTTTTTACCCTCTGCAATTAGTTCATTTTACTTTTTTTGAGGTTTGAAGGCATGCTGACTGTATCCTGGCATTAGGTTGAAATCGGAATAGATGGACTAAGAATGCGATTTACAGTGGGATAAAAAAAGGCTACAACATTTTTTTGAATTGAAAGCGTATGATTGACGCGTTAAAGATGTTTTTTTTTACAAATTAACCTAAAAAGATCGGCCTTATTTATATACATTTTGTTTATATTATTACTTAGAGGATTGAGAATCAAACTTAGGAATCGAGATCGCTTTTGAGATTTAGGTTGATTAAATTTGATTCGACATGTTCTATAATAAGTAAGTTCTAAGTTGTCTAGTTTTCTGAACTCGTGACGTACGTACTTTGGCACCAAACACACATATGTACACAGAAATTACACAATGGGTATGTATGTGTATTGTAGATATTTAATAACAAATTAAAAAACTAACAAACGAGTTTCGAGGCATAGATATAAATGTAATGACTGGAAGACAAAACCAGTGGCATTTTATGATTAAAACCGTGAAGATAATGAGGCAAATTGTCGAGGAACGATTATTTAGAATGACGCCTTACTGCGGCGACATTTCGATGCTTAATTACCTTCGTTGTTAATGCGAGAGGTTTAAAATAAACGAGAGGGGAATTTTATCGAGTACAAGCCACAGCCTTCGTGAGACGAGCGGGCGTGTCGTGTAAAAAACAATGGACCACTTTTTCGTTGGTTGCTCCGAGAGCAATTCTGTCGTGTTTTAATTGTCAATGTTAATGTGTTGACGCGATATTAAACCTTGTGTATTTTAATGAAATTTTTATTTTAATTTAATATTATTTTATATTGTTGATATTGTTTATCAATATAAGGAATTTAGTTTGAAGATTCAATACATAATCAAAATTGAAAAGTGGGTATTTGATTAGAGCATAAGTTCATTCTAAGATTGTATCATTCTAAATTAATTTAGTAACAAAATATAAGCTTAAAACAATGTCCGGTAATGACATTATTTTATCTCTTCTGCAACAAACCGGTGTTTTACGGATCACGTGTTACAATTATTACTATTTACAATGTGATATTTATTGAAAGCAGCGTTTGTTTAGTATTTTACATTAGTAATAGTATAGTACATTAGTAATAATATAAAGTAATAGTATAAGTAGGTTAAATTTTAAATAGTTTGTACTTAATTACAATAAATATTACCTGGCATTTTAATGTAACATTTTTGCTGCTCAACGTCATCCATTTAATAAATATTGAAAGAAAGAGACAGTTGAAAAAAGTTTATCATTCTTCATACAAAAATTTATAAGCCACTGAAGGTATTTTTTAAAACCATCGTAATCGTTACATTGAGTTTGTAATTGACAATCAAATATACTATTTTATATACTTGAATACAAAGTAGCCGGTGAAGTATAAGAATAAATATGTGATCGTAAAAACTCCTTAATTGTTATAAAAATAGTGAGCATGCAATAAATGTCAAATATTCAAGGTCACTTGTTCAATAAATCCGGGATACTAGTTTTTATACTACATTTTATTACTACATAAATATTTATAAATAGTCTCCTATCAAGTACGTGTTGATGATGAAAACAAGCACCCTCTTTTTACGTTTCCAATCTGCCGAACTTCTTCAAACGATTTTCAAATGTGTGTCGCAGTTGTAAGGCTGAAAATAAGTTTTTGAAATTTGAAGTAGCTGGATGTGGTGGTATGAACAATGATGTAAAAAACAGAAGTAATTAAAATTCTCAATTAGTACAATAATTACAGTAACATCTGTAAGCATAGACGTCACAAGTTCGAGAGCCATGCTCCGACACGAATAGGTCAAAACCAAAAATACCCAAGGCATGAAACAACATAAAAGAGTAACCATGGAGTTTCTTGCTCGTTCTTCTCCATAGGAATCTACACTTTGGAACGAGCAAATAGCTTCACTAGAGGACAGACGGACAGACTGACACTCTTAAAGTTAAAGCTCTTGAAATACTTTTTTCCTTTTTTTTGCTTGACTTTCAAAAGTGCCTACTGTGGTGTAATTGAAATAAATGATTTTGACTTTGACTTTGACAACCACAGCATTGAGTGATGTTCCCGGTAGCCCAAGCCCCCCCCCCCTACCACTATCTCTTAAATCTCTGAAACCTTAATCGACAAAAGGCTGACAATGCACTCGTAACTCCTTTGGTGTTGGTCGCGGGTTAAGCGCAATGAGGAACCGCGGCGTCGGCCTGGAGTCGAAGAAGGAACTTGGGGTTTTTAGTCAGGAAGAGACTGACACTGACAACCTGGGCGAGAGAAGTCATTTGATGATTTCCCCTCCATCAAAAAACTCCGTTGGTGTGGTGTTGCAGTTGTCCATAGGCGATGCCGATTGCTTATTGCCTAGGTATGCTCAATTGCCGACCTATCACATAAAAAAAACAAAAGACATACAGTTTGGACATTTGTCCAGTTCGTATCTATGATTCCATAGGATTCCATTGATTATAATTGGTACGTTTGTCTCTTGTTTAAATGTTTGAGTATTTTTGAATTCTCATTTTTAATACATATATCGTGACCGTTTAAATACTTATGAAAAGGCTTTCTTCGGCATCACTATTAGTGCAACTTAGATGAAAGAACAAGTCCGTGAGAAACAAATCGAGTAATCATATCATCATCATCATCATCAGCCGGAAAACGTCCGCTGCTGGACAAAGGCCTACCCTTAGCCCTCCACATCAAACGACAAGTTGCCACCTGCACCCATGCGACTCTGACGATGTTGTTGGTCCAACTAGCGGGAGGTCTGCCCAAATTACATTTTCCGGTCCTTGGTCGCCACTCTAGCACTTTTAGGGCCCATCGGCCTGTAAGGACGGACCCTTCGAGCAACGTAGCCTGCCCATTGTTTCTTTAGCCTACAGATTTTACGAGCTACGAGTATGTCGGTGACTTTGGTTCCTTGGCGAATTTCCACATTTCCGTTTTTATCATGCAAAGAGACCCCGAGCATAGCCCGATCCATCGCGCGCTGAGTGACGCTGAGTTTACCAAGAAGGCCAGAAGTTTAGGACGACGTCTCAATATCATACGTCATCACTGACAACACACACTGGTTGAAATCCTGGTCTTCAAGCACTGTGAGTAATCATGTACACAGATTGTTAAAAGAAACAGGTGAAGCAAGAGTTTAAAAAAAAAGGAAAGCCTATATTAAAATCTGCTACGACGGTCGTAGCGTAGTTTCGTAGCCGTAGCCGACGCTAATTTTCTAAATAAACTTACCATCTAGTTAGTTACACGGCTTAACCGATCAGGACGCACATGTCTACATGGCCAGTGTTTCATAAACGGCCAATAATTTTTTCTGCCAGTATAGCTAGTATATCTAGGACTGTCACCGTCGCCGCATTATGGATGCACATCGCTTGCGTATAATCTATTTCGGAGGACTTATGCTAAAATCATTTTCTGCCAGTCAAACTTTTGGTAGTGCAGAGATGTGTGGTAGGTGATATACAGCAATTTAGGAAGTTACGGTAAGTGGAGGTGTAAATCAATTCTATAAGTTACATACATAAAAATAATATATACATATATAAATATGTAATCGCATTTTATTACATTAAATATAGACACTGGTGAGGAAACTACCATCTTATTGCTTATGTACTCACGCACTCCCCGTTTGAAACGTAGGGGGGAGAGAGCAAGGGAGGGATAATAGCATAGAAGTCATCTACTCTGGTTTTCGCAAACATTCCAGAAGTTACACCATCGAGGCAGTCCGAACAGCATCCTTAGTGCATTATGTTGTCTTTTGTTGTCTAGTCTAGTTAGCTATCTCTATACTATATAGTACATAACAATAATTTACTACTTAAATAGTTTATTCGTAATCGACTGATATAAGAAGAGAAATTTATTTATTTATAACTTTAACAAAATAGACTTACAGTACGAGACCAAGTCGTCTAAATGTTATCTTAAATTAAATTACAAACATTTATGAAAATCTAGTATATCTACTTTACATTAAATTACGTGCATCAATGAGATTATATTTTGCAATGATTACAGTTATACAAATTTACCATGTTATGCTAAATATCACAATAAAATTTACATAGAAAAAATAAAATTAATTAGACAAAAAAAGAAATGATAACATTTGGTCACTGCACAGTATACCTGTTGGCTGGGCACCTGGCTGCTGCAGAACTTGTAGCGTATTTGATTGCACAGACTAACTATTTTGTATGGCTGTGGTGTGTATGTCAATTTGTATGTATGTAAACGCACCCACGACAAGGGAAAATCCTTGTGTGCGAATGTTGTTATTTTTTAAAAGTCTTTAATACTAAAATTTTAGACAAACATTTTCAGTTTTTACAAATAACAGTTTATTTTTTTTATTTATTTAAAAAAATCTCTATTTTTGTGCAATTTTAATATGTAAAAATTTACCCACGTCTTTAACTTAGACTAAAGTAACTCCGATGTGTCATGCTATCAGAATACAAAAAAAAAACGTATTTAAAAACCATCTGTAAACCAACAGAGATAAGAATATAATTTGATTGCTACAAAAAATTGAAGCGTGTAATGTGTTGGTTAGTAATTACAACAAGATAATATCTCATTACAGATGCGTTACATCTAGCCGACGAGCCGCGGCGCCTTTTGTCATGTTAAGCAGTATAACTATAGACTCCTTACTAGTTATTGTAAAACTTTACACTTTTCAATGATAAGAATACAAGAAGTGAAATCATCATCATCATCATCAGCCCATAAGTGCCCACTGCTGAGCAAAGCCCTCTTCGCACACAGAAAAAGTTTGAGCATTAATCACAACGCTTGCTCAATGCGGGTTGGCGATTTCAAACTTATAATTAGAAATTATAAGTCCAGGTTTCCTCACAATGTTTATTTACCCTAACCGTATGTCAGTGGTGTCTAAATAATCATAGAAAGTACATATAACTCGGAAAAAGTCACATTGGTACTTGCCAAGTTTGGAATCTACACGATCTACTAATCAACTCCAGTCATATTTATGTCAAAGCGTGGTACTCCTTCACTTTAAAATTATAGAATTTCTTTTGAATTTTTATATTCAGGTAATTTCGGTTATTCGAGATTTTTTTTTTGGAAAAGCACGAAGTATAATATTATGAACAGCGTACATATAACAGTTCAAAAGACATAACTATTGGACATGGACAGCTCTGTTTTGTCCATCGTGAAGTGTAAACGCGCGTCCCGCTTTAATTCGTAGTTCCTTTAATGAAAATTGTCTTTAAGAACCAAATCTGAAAATCTTTTCAGTATTTTCTAATCTAAATTTAAAACGTTCATGTTTTACAATGCCATCTATTATCAAATTATTCAAATTAAAATATCATTTGGTAACGAACTTACATAATAAAAAACAAACAGCTAAAAATTGTGTTTACTTATAATTATAATATAGCTGGTATTACAAAAACGTTATAGAAGGTTTTGCCTTATAAGTTCTTCGGTACCCTGTAGGTACAATGTTGACCTTAATAATTTTCGCGTGCGCCTGCGCCGGAGGACGGACTTGTCACGAGTTGGCGACTGCCTGTGGTTGGTTACAATTATATTATTATTATTATACGTCTCTGTATGTACGTGCCAAGTACCGCGTTCGTACTTGTGAAGAACTTTTAGCTGAAGATGTTTTTATTTGCTGTAATTGTTATTAAAACGGTGTCGCCTTGTACCAAGATTATCTTTAGTACCATAGTCATAAGTGTAATTACAAACACAAGTGTATGAGTAAGGTAAAGTTACGTGTGTTGATAATTCTGTTGAATTCTGAGTTTAATTATTATTTGTAAGTTACTCACGTCACGTCACTGTTTGACGAGGAACACGACTAATTTCAAGCCACGTTAGAGCTCCTAGTTATAAGGAGCAATGAGACTTTATGTAGTTTTTTTAGTGTAGCAGAACCATGCTTCGGCAGGAATGGGTCTGCTCGACCGGAGTGATACCACGGCCTTACAGAAAACCGAAGTGAAACAACCACAGCGTTGTGTGAGTGAGGTTACCGGAGGCCCAATTCTTCCCCTCCCCCAATCCCTCCTCAATAAAATAGTATATAGGTATATATAATATTTTAGATTTTAAATAAAATCTTGCATTATTTCGGTTACATAATTAGAATAAAAATAATACGCTTAGTATTTCTTATTAATTAGGTGCTTGCTTTGCATGCTAAATAACATTTAATATGTGTATACTGATAAGCTTTTCTTGGAGTATGTACTAATGTACTAATTGCTATATAAACTCCAAATGCTCAAATGCCTAATCCCTAAAAGGTCGGCTCTAATTGTTTACCATAAGGTAATCCGTCAGCTCGTTTGCCGACCTATAAAATAAAAAAATAGGTATCGCGTTCAATGAATTAAGTTAATAAATACGTCTTAAAAATGTTAAACACGAAAGTTCTGAGTTTCTGGCTCGTATTAGGAATGTACCAGTTGTAAGCGTGTGGGCAATATGTATGCGTAAAGGGGTAGCAAAGGACTTATGTATTAGATTTATACTTACATTTTTAATGCTTAAAAGATGGCAATACAGACGGCCTGGTATAAATCTCTCTCTACGAAATACAATTATTAAAATGGTAGCTTTTCTTTAATCCTTGGTATGTATAAAGAATTATACATTTTATTTACAACACAACTCCCATAAAGGTCGCGACTTATGGTTAGATCAGGTTACATTGTAAATATCGATATACTCGTATTATTTTTGCATACGACTGAGGTAAGGTACAATCATATTATGCGTTATTTTATTGCATTTAATTGTTTTTAAATGCTGTTCATATGAATAATCGAAAATGACCTGAGAGATAGGTACATATAGTATGTCATTATTTTCAGAAAACTGGATTTATTTTCTCAATTCAATAATTAGGTGGACTTGGGTACTTACTAGGGATATTTTTGTTTAACAAAAATCGAAACTGAAGACAGTAAGTAGTCAAAGTACTATGAATGTAAAAAACATTAGAGCTTACTTAGCGAGGCCTTTGTCCTACAGTGAAAAGAAGGGCTAATAATAATGTTATGAAAAAATTAAGTGAGAATTAACCGCTTTAATTTGTAGGCCTTTAATAAAACTAAGAAACTTATTCAGGTATACTGCACTTATCTTTTCCTGGAAGAGACTAGAGGCAGTGTCAGACTGACTAAAACCTTCTTCGTCCGGAGTCCTACCACTCAGAACTAGGCCGCGGTGCGTCATTGCGCATCGCCCGCAACTTCGGTGCCAATAAAGGTATACTTAATTTAAATTACGCCATGCAAACTTTGTATCGTTTGAATAAACAAATACTTAGATATTATTTCCAATCTATTT